TCTAAAGTGCATGACAAATTAACCAAACATACAGTTGTAAAGTCGCACAGCACTGAGCACATCCTTCAGTGTCAGGAGTGGCAAGGAGAGATTCAGAAGGTTTTTCCTTCCACCTGCTTTTGGACAACAGATTCCCCTGCAGCTGGCCACTCACACACATAGGCTAAGACATACAGATATGCAATACACTCAGTAGTTTTCTGTTGAGTGCTATTAAGTACAGTGTGTATGAGTGGATGGACATCTTTTTTTCCCCAAATGTGCTTTTCTTCCATAAGTCTTAAGAATGTTGACGTGCAACACAAAGACTTTTTTGAATACCAGGAAATAAATCATAAAAACCAAGCTCTGGTGGACGCTTATGGATAACTGGAAATTGGTCATCACTGAGCCTTTCAGAGGGGAAATGGTCCAAATCATTTGCCCAGATCAACAGAAATGGTTCAACAGGCTCAAAATCCACCCTCTTTTGTTGTTATCTCAGTTCGAGCAAAAATCAAGTAGAAAACCTGTGATGCGAGCTAAAGTGAAAGCAGGTACAAGTGATCAACAAGAAATCTGGATGATCTAGAGAGATTACAGAGAGGAAGGAGATGGCTGATTGATTGTTTGATTGATGGATCTAAGATATCTCTTAATTATTTCCAAGCATGGGATGTCACCCCTATTGAATAAATGCATTCAAATAATATTATAATGCATTCCGTTATATGTTATTTGAATTAGTACAAAGTTTTTAGTTTGAGAATATGCAATTGCAACAAAAGACAAATTGATTGTAAGACTTTTTTTTTTTTAAACAAATCTTTACCAGGCGTTTCCATAAGTGTGGTAACATATAACCTGTAGTAAACATGTTCTTTTGTGCTCCCGTTCTCGTGTACATCAAATTTCCCACTGGGTGTGTTTGAATGAGGGAGAAGGCAAGTGCTTGTGCATGTGTCTGTGTGTGTGTGTGTGTGTGTAAGAGCCAAATGTACTGCATGTGTTTGTCTGTTTGTCCTCTCTGTGTGGGTGTGTGTGCGTGGGCGGCAGGCCTGCCTTGAAAATGCCAGAGCCTGTTTCTAATCCAGGCCTCCTCAGTGGGTTGCAGCTCTCGCTGTGCCAGGCAGGCCTGCTGCAACACCAACAGAGCCCCAGCTGACAGCTAGTCTGCTCTTGTTTCTGCCTTCTGAACAATCTCTAAGCTAAAAAAAAAAAACCCTAACAATGGGTTAAGCTGGAAAATGAGCAAAGCCAAGAAACACAGAGGAAAAAAGCAAATACTCAGAATAACCATTTAGCCTGACAGCAGGATAGGTCTTGAACTGAGAAAATATGATAAAAATACAAAATCATCAGTCTATAAAAAGGAAACAAAAAGAGGCAGGTAGTAATGGTGAGCTGCTGAGGGATGTGTGGGTTTTGGTAGCAGGTTCGGGATGAAATCAGAGTGGTTAAATCTGATTCATCCTCTGTGAAGACGCCAGGCTCTCTAAGGAGGTGGTGAACGGCGCTTCAAAAATGAACTATCAGCTGCTGTCAGTGCCAGTCATCAGTGCCATGTGTGATGGAAAATCAATCTATATCATATCAGAGGACCTGTGAGGAGAGAATGAGAAAGACAGGTCCCTGCTGCCTCCTCGCTGTGTCTCTTTAAATGTCTGCCCAACAGAAGCACCCCAGAAAGGCTCGCGTCATTGGTGACGGAGACGCTCGCCATGCTGGTGGCTCAATGTGTAACGGCTGCTGTTCTGCTAGATTAGGTAGGTGATTGGCCATTAATATTCATTTCACAGTGTGTCTTTGTTAGGTTGCAGCAAGGGCTGCCGGAGTGTTTGGATGGATTTACTCTACCATGTATATTTCCCATTAATTCCAACAGAAAAGATTAGTTCCCCATGTTAATTCTTTAGATGCGCTGTCATAGTTTTCCTATTTTCCACATATTGATAATATATCTAGGAGTCGCATGTTTTTGTTTTATTGTTTATATATATATAAGAAATATGAGGAACATGTTCTGCTGTCCTCCAATTTGATGACTGGACAAATTTACGTTTCCACGGCGACTACATGCAGTAATACCCCGATCCAGCCTGGCCCTGTCTGGTTTTAATAATGTTCAAGAGTTCCTCCAGGAGAAATGAAGGTCTAGCAGGCATAAAAATCCCAGTAACAGGTCCATCCCTAATGGACAGCAGACTGGCACAGGTGATCTGAACTGCCTTCGCCATAATGAGATTAAGGGACTAATTAGTCTGACTGTGTGTTTAGCTGTGACAGCGTTCGCTCAGGAATATATGCCCCCTATTGGACTAGGAGTGTGGCCCCTGAGAGAATAGGCCAGACTGAGTGTGTCCCCGGTGTCTTTCCCTCTGCTGTACTGAGAGGCTAATTAATATCTTTCTGCATTCGCTCTCCCAGCTCCTGTGTGCCATGCTGAGCTTTAGTCCTGCAGTTATTGGTTTAGATTCTGCTACTGGCAGCTGAATAAGTATCAAAAAACAAAAATCTGGGCAGTTTAGAGGGGACAATATTGCAATAATTAATCACCAACACAAGAATTACAGCAAATGAGCAGCTATAGCTTGTAAAAGTAGACCGTGGAGAAGCATCAACATAATCATCTGCTTCAAGCTACAAAAGCAGCTGAGGACGTACAAGCTAAATTATGTTTTCCAATGGCTACGAAAGGAAGTCAGGCCTGCCGTTCAGAAGCAAAATGAGAACTGGAGATTTGAAGTGACAATCAATTTAGAGATTCACCAAAATTATTTGTATTTTTTATTTTGGTAAAACGCGCCAAGTGCTTACTGGTCACGGTAACACCTAGTGAAGAAGCCATACCGTCAGCAACTGTCAGGGAGGCATTTAAAATTGAAATCGGAAGTAGACACTGAGAACAATTTTCTCTGTGGCTTGTCAAGATCTGCCTTCAGTTCATACAGGCTGCAAGAGAATGAGCGAGAGCAAGACTTCAGAGGATATCAGGGAGCCTGAACGGGCTCTGGTATATCCTCGCAACTTCTATACATCTGTTATGCTGCATGTTAAATTTGGACGTATTGGCAGCTTTCTTGATGTTAGAGTCAGTGTATAAATTACAATTTTCTGAAAACAAATATGTAAATATAGGGAGACTGCTGTTATACTACTGCTAACTACACTAATCAACTTCATAACCTTTTTCTCCTTTTCAATTTTTAGTAAATTATTCATAGATCTACATAGATTTTTAGTTCTCAAAGAGAAATTAGAGGCTGCTAGAGCTGGTCAGCAGGTTTAAGATCAGATTGGAAACTGGCCACCAAATTCTGATCAGTGCAAATAAATCCATCTCCCCTTGCACACTCTGTGCATCGCCCTTTTATCTCCACCTACAACATGTTAAAGTCGTGCCTGTGTTTGATCGCCCCCTTGGCACCACTCTGACCTGTTCATTTAGAATGATGTGTAACTCTCAGGTTTGCTCGAACACTCATTTGTTCCTCGGCGCAGTACCAGCTGCTGGGGCCAGTAAGGGACCCCATACCGACCACCATGCCCTGGGAGTCCTAAAACCGGCCACTCTCAAGCAAGTAAAGAGACAGCTGAGTGTCATTGTTAATGTGGACACACAGCACCACAATGGCAAAATCAATGGACCTATAGGGGACATCAATCTTGACAGCACGAGACCCCTTTTGCTCGTCTCACTACTCTTCTAAAGCTCCAAATGAATGGCTACCAGGAGAGTGGGAGAGAAAGAAAGAGGTACGGAAAGGAGAGAAAGAAAGAAAGCTTGAGGCACTGACAGTGATCTTTCACTGGCCTTTCCTCCATTCATCCCAGGGGGGTTTGCTGTCCTTTGAAGATTGTGTGCATCTGACCGACAGCCAAATGGCCAGCCATCCTAATTCACCCAAAACAGGCAGAGGTTTTTAGGTAAAGCCTCAGAAGTGCAGCACAGCAGCTGTATGCGTTTGGCATCATTTCTGCATTTTTGCATTTTCTTCTTTTCTCCCTCTGTTTTTCCACTTCCAAATTTTTAATTTGCACTGGGATGAGATGGACTGGAAACAGTATTCCTCCTTTAAATAAGAACAAAACAAACAAACAAAAAAAGACACTTTGTCTGCTAGGAGACGCATGAGATGTTTACACACACACACAGACACACACACACACACACACACACAAAGTAAATAACAGCGAGGTTCATCATCTCTGCTACCTACTTGAAGGATAGCTGCTCAGAACATTAACATATATGCAGATAGGCAGCGAGTAAACGAAAGCCTCCAAAAACGGGAGAGATCAAAGACAACAGAATTAAGGCCAAGTAATAAGGATGTTGGCAAGCGCTTTGCAAATTTATTGATTGTTTGGCAAGCTTTAAATGTTGCTGCTCCATTTTCTCTGTGTCTATAACTGTACCCTCACAAATCAAGCGGGGTGGGCTTTAACAAGGCCCTGGTGTGGAAATGATTTTAGGCGAGGGACTAATCACAATCTCATTTACACTTAAACAATAATGTATTTGAAGGAAGAGCGAGCGGGAAAGACATGGGCAGTCGGGGGAGCCAATCACAGCCCCACATCTCCTCAATAACCTATTCTCTAATCAATTACAGGCATTAAAGCGGGAAGCTGAACAAGACTACAGGAGATTAATTCTCAATTCAAAAGGATTTGAACCAGAAACAAACAACAACAACAAAAACAAGATCAAGAAAGATGACAAATATAGATTGGAATAGAGATGCCATCAAATCTGCTTGCGTTTGATGTCACATAATCTGTTTAGTGTACATTCAGACACAGTCTGATTCGTCGTTCAGGATTGAGTTGCTACCATTTACGAACAGCATGAGGGATAAAAAGGTTTGGGACAAAAAAAAACAACAAACAGTACTGGTTGAGGGAAATATTGCAGACAGAGCAGAGGTCGGAAAGGGAAGTGAGAAATTATTCCGCTTAAATAGGATGGAGAGGAAAAAGAGGGAGATGAAAAATGATGAAGAAAAGAAGACAACTACCTCCACGGCTCTCGCTGTCTGCCGGTTTCACCTGGATGGGGCGGGTCATCTGGAGCAGATGAAAGACAAAGCAACAGAGAGGTTAGCGTCTTCGCTACAAGCTACAAGAAAGTCAGGGTTCTCTCGAAACAGATCAAAACTTCTTGGCAGAGGGTGGAAACCAACACACCAGCATCCTTCATTACTGCAATTCAGTTTAATGAAAACAGCCTGGCCCCTTCTGTCTTCTATGCAGAAGGTGTGCGTGTGGAGGCCACATCTGTACATTCTGAGGTTTTTCTCAGCAGCTGCAAGGGATACATATGCGTGTCTAAGAGAAAGAGGCCAAGACAGTCCTAATAAAAGTGAATCCAGCCACAGGAGGAGAGGGATCAATGCGGGCCTATTGATCCAGGCCCTTGGGCTGTGGAGAGTGTCTGGCTGGGAAGAATTCTCTGGTTAGGAGGCTCACTCTAATCCACTGGACCCTGATAAGAATGGCATTGCCTGGATTAGATGCCTGTGTCATCACAGCCTTTGTGTCACGCTCTTCTCCTTCCCCAATATTACCTCTTTCTTTTCTCATTATTGCTGCTCAAGCCAAACACTTTCTCTATACTTGTTGGGTCCCGTTTGTTTGGAGGAAAATGTAAAATGATGGAAGATTTCTTTTACCGATGGAAGGTTTTTAAATTATATTTTCTCATTATGTTTGTACTTACAAGGCGGTCTTGCTTTTGTGACGACGTAATCAAAGTCTTGTGAATGTGTTGGCAAAGTTTATACTTGGAATTCAACTTCATAAGCAGAAATGTAAATGTAAAACCCAAGAAAGACCAAATACCCAATGCTCTCACGGTTTGAACCTCTAGCTTCAAAATGTTTTATGAGGATTTTGTGTGATAGACGAAACAAAGTAGAGTATAATTGTTGAGTGGATTTTTTTCTACCATATAAAATCCTAATAAAACACATTGAGGTTTATGGCTTTGACATGACACAATGTGGAAAGTTCAAGAGGTAAAAACACTTTTGCAAAGCATTATATTTCAGCACTGTTTTATTTAAACAAATAACAAAAAAAAAAAACATTTACCATCACAAGGCCTTCCGAGTAAAACCATTTTAAAGAAATTACCAAGAGACAGTTTTTCCTTAACCATATATGTACATTTGACCCATCTTCCCATGGTGTCTTTTTTTTTTTTTTTTTAAGTTCAATTCCTGAACGAGGATGAAAAGGTCAGATTTAAAGACAGGGCAATCCAATAAAAGCATGACATGTTCAAGGAGAAACACCATAATGGGATTTTAAAATGTCTTAATAACATGGTGATGTATGGGGGAACCGGGCCAGGCCCAATTCATTAAGTGCTAAATGTATCAATTTTCACCTTGAGGAAGTGAGTAACCTTCCTTTGCTGAAATTATTCCATAAATTTGCCCACTGTAAATAATAACTAGCACCAGTTAAGACTTTGTGGGAAAGTAAGGAGGATGTTGCAGGCTTTTGTGAGAGTTGAGGTTTCAGCTCCTTGTTTCTTGAGTGGCTCCTTGTCTGCAAATGCTTTTTCTTCCCTTGTACAACATAAGCTAAGTAATTCTACAGTATGGTAATGCCAAGCCACAGGGTGCATCACACCACAGCATGCACGGATAGATTACAGCATCACAACCGGATGCATGTTGAAAGCCTAAAAAAAGCATTCTCATATGGGAGAAAACAACACATTCATTTCAGACCTCTTTTCTATTCACAAATAAATAAATAAATAAATACTTCTCTGATGTGGACCTTGATTATTTAAATAGACAAAAATAGATTAAAAAAAAAATGCAAACTTGTTTAAGTTTGAATGTGGTGAGGAGGAACTGCTGCTCCTTCACGATAGCACAGACTCAGGCAGCTCCATGGGGCGACTGTGTGGGGGAGGAAACTCTCTCCAAAGCTAGTTACTGTTCAGCCTCCAACATGCCAGCTTAATGGTCTACTTATTTGCCCGAAAGCAATGCATTATGGTCCCGAACAGCGGATGGCTCTCAGTTCGTTAAATTTCCCTCGAACACATGGAGGGGGGGAAAAAAAAAAAAAAACATATTTCCTGTAGAAATTAAATGGACATAGTCTCCTCCTTTATATGTATTTTGTCACCGACACAGACAAGGTAGATCTAATTTAAATACATTAAGGACTACTTTCTCCAGGAAAGCGGCGCAGTCAATGCGGTGTTGCTTTTCACAAGAGCCGGGCTTATACACAAACGAAAAAAACTTGACAAGAGTATGAAGTGCTTTCTCTAGAAACAATCAGTCAATATGGCTATGGTGTTTGTATGTATTAACGTATTCAAGAATTAAAAAAGTCTAAAGTATGCACAAGAATAAAGATGAAAAAAGTGCAGAAAACAACAATTTTGCTCTGCCAACTACACCTATATAATCTTCTCTGTCAAATACACTTACAGTTCTCCAAAAGTCTTAAATTATAGCATATGAATTTGTGATTCAAGTACTTTTAAAAATGTGATTATATTTATCACCATTTTGATTTGGACTGTGGGCACTCTAGGTTTTTCCCATTAAGATTTTACTCTCATCTATTTACTCAGTCTGAAATTGCTCAGAGGTTCACTGGCCATTTTATTGGGTACACACTTTAACTTTAATAGTAAGGTGTTTGACCCCCACCCCTTTTGCTGTAGGAAGTAATAATACTTTGTGTCAGAATAAACAGGGTATTGGAAATGTTCCTCATATATTTTGGTCCGTACTGACGTGAAAGAATCACATAACTGCTGCAATTTTTTGGGATGTATTTCTTGTTCTAAATGCTCTGACAGATTGAGGTGTGATGACAGTGAGCTAAATCTCATGTTCAATAAACCAGGTTGAGATTATTTGAGTTTTGTGATCATAAAAAGCTTTGATTGAAATACATTTTAATAGCCTTTTTTCTTCACTCTGAGAATCAGAACTTGAAGAAGTCGTCTTCATCAGGCCTAGACTCCTGATACACTGACTTATTGCCATGCTTGAGCCGAGTCAGTATTTTAACAACTGAGGAAGCTCCTAAAAAAAGAGGCTGGTGAGGGTATATTGTATACATTAGAGATTTCATAAGAAAACAAGTAGAAGAAAACAAGTAGAAGAAAATAAAAATGATTAAAACAGTCAGATAGTTCTTTAAAGCAAATTTACAAGGTTTTTGATAAGCTTTATGTTGAGCTTTCTGTCCTGTTTTGAATCCTATAATTTTAAGGTAAAACACAATGAGTAAAGTTGCATGCTGTAAAATATGGCGTTGAAATGAAAAAGAGACACTTTTCTTAAGAATAAAACACCGCTGCTTTCAGTAACGTTGCCCTTTAGTCCGTTTAAATCTCAAACACCAAAACCAGGTAGACATGAAAGAGAACTTACCGTGTTGCTCTAAGGACTCAGAAGGGCTCAGTTCACAACCTTCAAATGAATCTACCTTTATTCTCAGAAAAAAAATACTCCTTGCTTTTTTTATTCCTTCTTCTTTTTGCTATGAGCCTTTCTCTTCCTCTATTTCCCACTCCACAAAGCTCTGCAGCTCCAAGGGCTTTGACAAATCTAAAGTTCCATATGCTTTTATTGAGCTGCCTCATTTGCCCAGTTAAGCCCCCAGTCAGTTGAATTAAGCTCTTAGCTCTAGCATGAAGCTTTTTCATATGGAGGGTCAGACAGAAACCCCAGGGCCTACAGTACATAATGTAGTGTGCAATCGTCCTGGAATATCCAGCTGCTTTGTCTCTGTTCATTAATCTTTAAGACTGATGGTTGGCTACAGTGTTACTTTGGATAGATATGGTTGATTGGGATCACGTAAATTGGATCTCTGTTGGACCAACATACTGGCATTAAAACATATCCAAGTTCTTAGAACTTTATTAAACTTCAGTATCAGGGTATCTAGCTGTTTATTTTTTTTAAATATTGGAGCAACACTAAGTGGAGTTGGATTCTAGCGCTGATAGATGGCCCTTTGATTTCAAATTACAAAAAATGCAAGTAGTATAAATAAGTATGTTGTGTTTACAACTAATGTTATCATAACACCTAGATAGTGGCCAATTGGCCATTATCTCAGGTTTCAAACCACTCTGGTTAATAGTTTCAGTGGTAGACCTCTGCTTGTACACGTACCAAAATGTCTCTTCCAGTTAATCACAAAATATTTTTCAGCTTTGTTACAAATGGGAGGTTTGATCAAAATCAGAAGCATCTGATTAGAGATGCCTGCCAATTTCTAAGTGTGTATTCTGCAATAATAAAACCGACATAACAAAGCTGGCAAACCCATAAGCTTGTGTTACTTAGAACTAATAAAACTTCATATTCAAACATAATGATCAGTGTATTTTCGTTGGCTGTTGCTTCAAGTAAGCAGACCTTCATCCCCTGTTTTGAGTGGTTGTTGGTCCAACAAAGAGTCATTTTATTCAAATCAAATCAAATTTTATTTGTATAGCACATTTCAGCAGCAAGGCATTTCAAAGTGCTTTACATAATTAAAAACAGAAACACAGTCATGTTACATTGAATAAACAGTAAAAAAGAGGAAGAAAAAAAATTAATAGGTAAAAAGTAAAGATAAAAATATTAAAAACATTAAAGATATTAAAACCTGCACTCTAACCCTAATTCACCCATAAGCAACTCTAAATGGTGGGGTTTTATGTTGAAATTTAAAGGCACCCAGTGTTTCAGCCGTTTTACCATTTTCTGGAAATGTGTTCCAAATTTGTGGTGCATAGAAGCTGAATGCTGCTTCTCCTTGTTTGGTTCTGGTTCTGGGGATGCAGAGCAGACCAGAACCAGAAGATCTGAGGGGCCTAGACGGTTGGTACAGCAACAACAGATCTTTAATGTATTGTGGTTCTTCCTATTTTTACGGCTTTGCAGTAAAAACAAGAAATGGAAAAAAAATAAAAATAAAAAGACTGGTCAAACTATATCTTCCAAAATTTACAGGTTATTTCACTTATTCCTCACTGCATTTTTTTTTCAATATCATCATTCATGAGTTTATCAGCTGGTCACTTTTCTTATTATCCCTTTCCTTTTCCCTGGAAAATTAGT